TAAACTATCGATATCTATATCTTTACCCAAATCTCAACTACAAATAAAACCTTCTGCTTACCACATATATTATCCGTCCGCTTTTAACATTTAAGCAACATAAAGAACTGACCGTAACACTAATTTGGTTAGTAGGATTAATGAAACACTGATGTGAACTTATTATAGAAAATAATGATGAACGAATTCCATTCTAAAAAAATATTAATAAAATTAGCTAGTTTTTAGCTTCAAATATATATAAATTTTATTTAGTTGGTATCGTTAGTTTTTGCATAATGTGTATTTAAAAAATTCCGGTTTTTTTTGTCCCACATTGTATAATTATAACCAACTCATAATAATATTTGGCTTTCTAAATGTGAACTTATGATCAAAAAAGAAAAATCATTACATATCTCACATAAACAGAAAAGAAAATATGATAGAATTTCTATATTCATATTTAATTGATACATTAATCCCTTTTCTTTTTCTACACAACCTATTTTTATAAATTGGATTAATTTAGTCAGACTTTCTATAATATATGATAGAGATTGGACTCTTTTTGGCTCAGTAATAATTAATTATTATTTATGTTCTAATTTATTTTTCAAACTTTTTTTCCTTTTTAATAAACAGTCATGATAAGTCTTATGTTTACATATTTGTCTTTGACAAGACAATGGCTGATTTAGAGGAACCTGATTTTTTACAAGTAGGTTTTTAAATGTCTCTAAACAATAATTTTTTTATATTAAATTATATAAATAATAGTTTAGTTTTTCTACTTTATATTATTTGATTTCTTAAATTAAAATAAATAAAATTATATTATTATATCTAAAAAAAAAAAAAAGACTGATCTGATTTTAACAAATTTTAGCTTATTAGAATCGCTACACTAAGGAGAATCAGAATATAATATCAGTTTTTTAGTTGATTGCTTACTGAAAAAATTTTCTAACACTTAAATTTTATTACAGTTAATTTCATAATTTATGGACCATTAATAATTTTTCAGTCGCATTCAGTCGCAATATTTTCTAGTAATTTTATTATAAAATATTTTCAGTCACATTCAGTCGCAATTTATTAGTGATTCACGAATTATGAAATTAGCTGTAAGTAAAAATGTTTATGTTAGTCGTAAAATTGTGTAAAATTGATGTTTTTAATTTATAAAATAAAAATAAAATAATGATAATACAATATAATATTATTTGATATTATGTGAAAAATAATTTTTTATTCTTTTTTATTATAATAATAATAACTTAAGCAATATAATTAAAAATGAATACACAACTATTAGGTTACAATTTTTTGGATTATAATCTAAGTTGCAGCTAATTACAGAATATTAATTATAAGAACTTTAATATAAAAGTCTATAATAAGTTATAATTTTTTAGGTTACAACCTGAATTGCAACCAATTGCAGATTTTTAAATCAATTATAATAATATTTTTAAATATAATACTTGAAAAAAACTTTAATTTAGAAAATATCTATTTTATAAAGAAAGAAATTGATATAAGTAAATATCAATTTGCTCAGTTTTATTGTTATTTAATATTAAATAGTTAAAACTTTTTATTAGATTAAAATTTAGGTTATTTAAAATTTATAAAATATAAATATATTATTATTGTATTTATTCTAATCTAATATTGTATATAAACTATTCTTTTAGAAATCAATACTAATTATTCAATTAAATCCATTTTTAATTTGTTAATTTCAGAATCTGAATGGATTATTTATATTATATGAAACCTTTGCAATAAAAAGAAGAAAAGCTGTTAAATAAAATAAAAAATAAGTTAATATTAAAATTATATATATTTTAGCCTGAAAATCATATTTGGCATATAAAGTAAATATATTTTTTCTGGTAGTTTTTCTTTCTTTTATTGGAAAGGTTTCATATGATTGATTAATTAAGTTTGATTTACTTATTTAAATAAATTATTCATAAAATTCAAATTTGATAATTATTTGTTATTTATGATAGATTAAAAAAATTGATTTGCTAAAAAAATGCCAATTTAAGAAAATAATTTATTGTGCAAATAAATTATCTATTTATATTTATTTAGCTATTCTTTTAATATTTGTTACATTCATTTCAAACAGATTTTTTCTGATGCAGAAGATTTAAGTTTACTTTACAAAGAATTGGTTAGACCTAAAGTAATGATTCAATTGTTAATTCGTTAAAAAGAAAATCATTTACATTGCAAAGTTTGAGATTAATAAATAAAATAATATATTAGATTAAATTCATCTTGACCTACTTTTCGATGATCTTTTTTATTAAAAATTAATTTTAATTTGTAAAACTTTTTAAGGAACTAATTTTAATTGGTTATAAGGTATTTAATATCATTTTCACTATTTAATTGGATATGATAAGGTTGCTAGGTTTTCGGAAATTTTTATATTGTAATGTCCGACTAATTTTTTTTTTTTTTTTTGATTTTCTTTTTACACGAATTGAAAATCAGTTTCGGATAAAAATAAACTATAATAAAATGTTTCTGCTTCACAAAAAAAAAAAGCTATCAAATAATTTAATATATCGTACCACTCTTATATCTAAATTTAATAAAGATTTATCAAGCTTCCAAAAAAAAAAAAAAAAAATATATATCATACCACTCAACTCTTTAAAATGAACTATTAAAAGTTAATGATTTTCAAAACTGTATATTGGTTGTTAAAACATCAATCTAAATTTTAAAGTAAGTAATTGCGCGGGTAGAAAAAATTGTTTTCGGCAAAACACAGCCACATAGCTAGTTATTGTGATTTTAAAAGCATTGATATTTTATAGAACTTTAAAAAATTATTCTCGGTTTTTTTTTTTTTTTTGACATTATTTTTTATTAATTTTTTTTTTGTTTTTTCGATGAAAAATAAAAACATTTATATACAAAATATATACAGTATATGAGAATTTATGAATAGTATTTCATGATTTATGATAGATGATATAATATAGTATGATAATATGAATAGTTTTTTAGTATGATTTTTTTTTTTTTTTTTTTTTTTTTTTTACATAAAATAAAGACCATATAACCAAAACGACTCAAAAATAAAATATATACAAAAAAAAGAAAATTAAACTATTCAATAAATTTACAAAAAGGCCTATAAAATGCTATTGTATAATTAATATTGACCTATGTTGGATATTTTAACATCTAGTAAATATCGTGTCCCATATATATTATGTATATTAGATTTATTTTTTATCTTTTTTTTTTTAAAAGAAAAAAATATGTAAGTTTGTAAAAAAAGTGGGGAATAAAATTTATGCTTTTTTTTTTTTTTTAAAAAAAAAAAAAAATCGTTTAGAATTAAGTCTATCTTTTTTGATAAAGGTAAAATATTTTTTTTTTAGTTTTCTTTTGACAAGAATTTCAAGAACCGTTTATCTTCACAAATTTCATCATTAGTCAAAATATCCTACAAAAGAGATATAAATAATTTCGTTTAAAACATCGATGGCAACCTTTGAAAATTAACAAACAAACAAATAAAATACGTTACCTGCAAATAATTTTCAAGTTGAATTCGACGAGATTCCAAGAAAGAATTATCAAAAGTTTTAAGAAATGTCTTTCCAGGAAGTTTGAATTTATTAACAAATGAAGAGTGATGATTTTTCAAGTAATCCTTTAACAAGGAAAATTCATTGTATCTTCGAGGAACGATCCAACCAGATTTAACTTGACCAGTGGTAACGTCAATCCTTTGTACCATAATAACGTATATAGCAAACTTTTTTGAATTTTCTCGTTTAATGGTAAATGCTGGGATGGAAATCTTCGTCACATCCTATAAAATATCAAAAATTTTATTTCGTTAATAATAAATAAATATCGTTCGTTTTATAACAACTTTATTTTGATAACATTACCTTTGAAATGACATTTTCTTGAACTTGAACTTGATACTGATGTTTTTGATGATCAATATGTTCAATTTTACTGATCAACCCTTGGTAGATTTTTTTGGTGTTCTTATACTCCCCATCGATCAAATCATTTTGTTCTTTTTGTTTAATTAATTCTCTTGCAAAATTTTCATGCTCCTTCAAGTCGATAAGTTCTTGATCTAACTTATTGATTTTTTCCGAGAGGAATAAATCACCAGGTGGTGCCACGTAAACTTCAATTGCATTGACTTGAACTTGTTTTTCCGATAATTCTTGATGAGAATCACAAATTAAGAAGCTTCTCCTCTTACAAAGTGGTACTGTTGAAGGGAAAACTTTTTTTGAACGATGATTTCGAGAAGATAATGGTCGGGAAGGAATAGAAAGTAATCTATTCAATTTTACCAAAACGCTAGCGTTCATGATAATAATAACTTCTTGTTGAAAATTTTTTTGAACATTTTGATTGAACCGATGAACCTTCTTCTTTGGAATGGATAATTGATTCTCATTTGATAATTTTATCCCAAGTTGAAGGAAATGATTCATTTCACTCTTTCCAATCAACTTTTCATTATTGTTATTGTAAGGGAGTTGTTGTTGTTGTTGTTTGAAAGGTACAACAAGGTCACCGACGATAACTTCGTTAAAATTTGACGTGCGATCGACCAAAGATGTTTTATTATCTTTAACTGCGACTTGCACGAAAGTGGTCATTAAAATTTCCCATAGCGGTGTTATATTGCACAAGATGAAACAACCGATAATGGTTCCAATGATGGTTCCAATAAAGATTTGTAAAAAAAATATCGGTAAAAGTAAAAAATTTTCCACAAGTAAATAATACAAGGTTACTGCGAAAGCGTACTTGATTGCGTCGGTGTAACCATGATTTTTGGCGGTAGTTTTGAAATAAGGAAAAGATACTTTAACTAAGGGATCTAATAAAGTTACCCTAGAGATTTCAATGGCTCCAATTATGACGGGAATTTCAAAGATTAACCGAGACATTACTAAAAATAATATTATAAATAATATTTTTTTTTTTTAATCGTTAAAGAAAAATAAAATTTTAGAGGACGTAAGAAAAAAAAATATTTTTTTATTTTGATGCAAAAGGGAAAAAGGATTATTTAAATAATAAGTTGGTTATTATTTTATGATTTGTCTATCAAAGACAAAAGGGGTTTTTTCATGCATAAAGATTAAAATAAGGTCAAAATTTTACTTGCTATGGGAAAGTTTTATTCAAACAAAGATTTTTTTTTTTTTTTAGAAAAAAAGAAGTGTTTTCGCGAACTTCTTTCATATTTAATCCTTATTAATACTGATTACGAGATTACAAAAGTATTAAAAAGAATACTATAAAAATATATATATAAATGATATGAGGCGATGCAATCAATGCAGAACCTACGTTATTGCAAAATCTCGATTCGTTCAATTGATTTTTTTTTTTATGCAATCTATTAAACTCAACTTTTGGTGCGTTTTTTTTTATGTTAGCTTTAATCCCCGATCCTTACCTTACTTTAAAAAAGGTAATCTGCATCATCCGAAATTAGTGGACTGTGCATCAGCGTGGTTTTTTAACTATCATGTACCTATGATTAATTGTGCGCCAGATCCATCATCACTCTTATTATTTTCATTAATTCTTTTTTTCCTTCTTTACAGTTTTAAATACCTCTTCTTTTTTATTATACGGATTTAAGAAGTCCGTAACCAAATCAAGTTTAAAATAATTTCTTTGTATAATTCTAAAAAGGATACTTGTTTCAAAAGAAGAACAAAGCCCCATATCGAAAGCCTTCGCTTTATTTATAGTCAATCATTATGTAAGGCACAGCCTAAACACAAAAACAATTAAAAAAGAAGATAATTTCTTCCTAAAAATAAAATAAATTAATGTAACTATATATGTTATAAATTATACATAAATTATGCAAGTTGTTTAATCATTATTTATATTGAAAAATTAATTAGTGTAATTAAGTTGTTTATCACTTTCGCAAAGTTTCAAAAAAGATTCTTTCTTATCCACCAAAAATATCAATTTCGTTTTTGTAAAAAAATAAAAAAAGTTCTTTGATCAAAGTGATTAACAATCAGCTTTTTAAGATGGATAAGTAGATAATGGGGGTGGGAAACTGTGTCATCTCGCAGCAAAATTCAGGTGACATTTCGTTTAAAAAAAAATCTCGTGAGCAAAAAAAATTTTGGTAAACCAGGTTTACTTCTTTTGGATAATAACTTAATATAAACAATCATCAAAGATGAAACAAATGTTTATTAAAAAAATTTAAGCCACATTCGGTTTAACAATGATAAATTATATTATGCTTGCTATATTGTTGGTTTTTTGTAATCAAAAAACATTAGCCTTTGAAAAAAGTGGCCCACATTCTTTTATAGCAAATGTTTGGGTTGATCAAAATTCGATAAATTAAAGGTTTATGATACCAAAAAATAATGTTCAATATTTATTGTAAAATGAAATTTAAACCAAAAAATTTTATACAATCTAATTTGAGTAGCAATATTTGAAATTCACGTGTCATTTATGTTGCTGTTTGTTTTTTTGTTGCAAGTTCTTTTAGATATTCAAATTCATTGCTTTGTTCGCATAATTTATAGAATAAACTATCTGGATTTTGTAATAAATTATATGGTGTATCGAATTCTGCAACATTTCCATGATCTAAAAATAAAATAAAATAAAAAATGATCATCGTAAATAAGATTGATGGTCAAAAATAAAGACGCCATAATAATGTCATTAGCTAACTTACCAAGAACCAATACCTATAATAGATTGAAATAATGAATAAATGTTTAGAAATAATTTAAATAATTTTCAAAACCCGATTTGTATTAAAAAAAAATCTCACCCTATCATAATCGATTATTGTTCTTAAACGATGAGCAATACAAAGTAAAGTGGCCCAATTAAACTCGGTTCGAATGGTATTTTGAATTTGGAAGTCCGTCTCTACGTCAACACTTGCTGTAGCTATAAAAAATAATTTATATTAATAGATGATCATATGGATAATTAATTGTATGAAATTTGTAAATCTGTATTACGAACCTTCATCCAATACGATAACATTGGATCTCCTATTAAATCAAATGTTATTAACTCAAATGGATCGATTAGAATATCAAAGTTCAAATTATGTGAAATGTTTTTTTTACCTTAATAAAGCCCTAGCCAAACACAACAATTGTCTTTGCCCTTGACTGAAATTATCACCCCCTTCTAGTATTTTAGCTTGTAATTTATCATCCATGTTCAAAATATATTGTTTTAAATGTGCACTTTGTAATGCTTGCCAAATTTCTACTTCTTCATGCGCTTCAAATGGATCAAGATTGAATGCAATGGTCCCTATATGATAAAATAATAAATTTTAATTTCAAATGATAACATTTATACAAATGTTGAGATTTTACCTTCGAATAGAATTGGATCTTGTGGAATGATCGTTAGCCTAGATCTCAAATCATTCAATCCAATTTTAGAAATATCAAGTCCATCCTATACGATAAAATTTTGAGTCATTGATTAATTCATCCTTACTTTTTTGTTTTTTTTTTTTTGACAAATCAATAGAGCTTACCATTATAATAGCACCATTTACTGCCTCAATTAATCTAAACAGACTTAATGTTAAGCTTGATTTTCCTGCACCAGTTCTTCCAACTATACCAACTTTTTCTTTTGGTTTAATAACAAATGAAACTCCCTTCAAGACCAATTCAAGTTCTGGACGATATCTTGTAGAATAGTTTTGATATTCAATTGAACCATTTTGTGGCCATGTTGGATCTGGTCTATTATCAGGTATAACAACTGGTGCTTCGCTTGGCAAGTCAATATACTAGGTAATGGTAAATAAAAAAATATATATATTTAAAATATATCCCATTAAGTAGAATTACATATATTTTTATATAATTATTTACCTCTTTTACTCTTTCCACGGAAACAACATTTGTTTCAATTTCACAGAATTGTCTTACGGCCCAATTCAAAGCTTGAGTAACACTAAGAGCATAAGATACTGATAATCCTACAAGTCCAGCATCGATGTTGCCAGTTGTAAGAACTGTTATAACTGATAACATGGCGGCCCCAAAGATAATAATGGATCCCAAGAATTCCAACCTTACGGCTAACCATCGGTTACATGAGATCGATGGATAATACGCTCTTTGGTTTGTATCCAATTTTATTTCATTTTCTTCAAGGAATCTATCTACTTGTTGATATGCCCTAATTGTTGAAACTCCTCCTAAGGTTTCTTGAAAATGTGCGTAAATTGGTGATCTCGTGACCGAATCCAATCGTTTTAATTCACGCGAAGTTGACAAATAATAGGTTTGGATATAATTATACATAAAGACTGCAAAAAAAAAAAAAAAAATTTAATGAATTTAATTTAATAAATTACTTCGAATTTAAAATTTTGATTCTAAAAAAAAAATCTATAACTCACTCATCGGAATGATTACAAAAACAAATAACGGTGTTGAAAACGAGATCACAACAATCGTGGCTATAACTGAAAAGAGAGTTCGAAAGTATCCCGCAAATGTACGTGGAAGTACTTCATCTATGGTATATATATCCTACATTCAATGTAAAGAATTCATATCATTACCGGATTTATTAGTATTTCTCAATGCAATAATCCTTAAATTAGATCAACATACCTTGCTAAATCTATTCAATATTCTTCCCAAAGGTGTTGTGTCCTAACAAATAAAACGAATATTAATGTATAGAAACAAATAAAACAAATAAAAATAAAAATAAAAAAACTTACAAAGAATGACATAGGTGATCTATAAAAATTATTGAACAAAAGATATATTCTCTTAAATATCGTTAAAAATTAAATTTTATAACAGAGTGAATCAATATTTACCTTATTATGCCAAGCAACAATTGATGATGCAACTTTCGTGCTGCTCGAAGAGCACAAAATATACAAAGTACAATAGTCTGTATTATTGTCATTAACGAATATGACAAACCAATTAAGCCATATATAGCCAAGTAAAACAAAACATCATCATTACTCTCTCTCGAGCTCCAATATTTAAGGAAAACATTTGTAGCTAGTTATAAAATAGATTAATTAATTAATAAATAATTAAATCAACATAAATCTTTATAAAATTTCATAAATATCAAACAGATACTTACAAACTGAAAGTCCAACAGAAATAACCAAAATAATTAGATAAAACACCACAGTGCCAATGCCACAACTATTGATATAATCCGAGTAAACTTTCCATGCCACTTTTCCTTTAACCATGTCTTCTTTAGTAATTAATCCATCTTTCCCGATTTCTTCACCCTGCTTTTTCCTATTTCTCACAGTGATCAGACTAGGACGTCTATGTAAACTTGCAACACTAACTCTTCTTTCTCTTGGTCGACTTGCAGTTTCCTCTGATTCATTATTTGCTTCATCTATCTCATAAGTCTCCAGCGTTGTGGGAAAAGAAACAATTTCTGTTTCTTCCGAATCAACTGTTGATTCTTGTTGACCAAACTCTTTAATGAGATTAAACAATTCAGATTTCAGCTTCATTAATGAATCGAAATGTCCTTGTTCTATAATTTGCCCGTCTCGCATCATTACTACAGAATTTGTTTGTGAAAGGTAGTGAATTCCGTGTGTAATAAATATACGAGCCTTTGTACGTAAAAGACCGCTTGGACCAATCACGTTATCGAAAATATGTTTTCCTAATACATAAATAAAAAGATATAATTAGTCAACTCATTAAAACTCTTCTTATTATTGCATAGCTTATCTCCATTTACCAACATGAGCATCAACAGCAGATAATGTATCATCTAAGACAAAAACAGATCACACGAATTAACATTATATGATATCTATCAACAATTACTAAAAAATCAATAAATGGCTTACCAAACAAATATATATCAGCTCTAGCATAAACGGCTCGAGCTAAAGCAACCCTTGCTTTCTGACCTCCGGATAAATTAATCCCCTTCTCTCCAATTTCCGTCAAATCTCCGCCTGGAAGAATAGCAATATCAGGTTTTAAAGAACATGCTTCAATAACTTCATTATAAAATTCGGGCTCATATTTATATCCGAAAGTAATATTATCTCGTAAAGTAGCGTTCATAATCCATGGTGATTGGGATACGTAAGCAACATGGCCTCGAATAATAACCTCTCCTTCGATTTTTTCCATTTCACCCAATAAAGCCGATATCAAAGAAGATTTTCCCGTGCCTAATATCCATCAAAATAATATAAATAATTTATCGTAACTTATGAATATTTTTTTTTTTTTTTAAGAACATTTAAGGGTTACACTTACCAACTCTACCCACAATAGCAACCAACTCTCCTTTCTTTACACTCAAATCAATATTATTCAATATGACACCATTAAATCTATTCCATTTGAATACTCCATTTTTAATAGAAATTAATTCAATATCATCACTTTGAATAAGTTGGTCGGAATTTCTAACACGGTAATCCTGTCTAATAACGGCACGGGGATCTAATTCTTCCGATAACAAAAATTTTTCAAGTCTTTTCGACGATACAATTGCTTCAACCCCTGATGTTATAACATTCGGAAAAACCGCCAACGGAAATTGTAATATATTGAAAAGTGCAAGTGCCACAAAAACTAGCTGAGCATTTAATGGGGTATCAGAGATCATCACATAAACCGCAAAAGTTGAAAATGCTACCAAAAATGGCTAAATAAAATAGATATATTATGGAAAGATTTTGAGTATATATGTATATATATAAAATAAATATTTAACGTGCAAATATAAATTAATTACTTACAGTTGAAGACCAAGTAAAGGTTTGAATAGAAGCAAAGTATCCAAGTTTTTTTAATGTTTCTAATTCTAAATCATTTCTTACGTGGAAAACCTTTCAAAGAATAGAATTCAAAATTAACATAAATTTACTCATAAAGAGAACAAGATCAATAGTATTATCTGATCTTTATATACCTTCTTAAGGAAAGCAGATTCCCAAGCATATAGTTTGATAACTTTAATTCCATTTAAGATTTCATTCTACAATTATGAAATATTAATTTCCGTCATATTAAAAATAATCACAAAATTTATACTCTTACCATCAATCGAATTCTATCATCTTTATTTTTCATTTGTTTCTTTTGTAATGTTCTCATCTTACTAGCTATGAATGCATTAATTGGAATCATCATAATCATAATACCTACACCAGCAAACGAACTAACACCCATCGTTTTATATAGAAAATACAAAGCAAGTACAATCTGTAATGGACCTGACCAGGCTATGTGCAAGTAAGTACATAAATCCATTAATTTTTGCGCATCAACACTCATATGATTTACAATTTCTCCTACAGTAGAATTTTGTCTTGAAGAATTAGATAATTTTAACGATTTTCTATATATCGCAGTTACCAATCCTGCTCTAATCTAAAAATACATAAATTGAGTAAATCAAATATAATTAATCTGATATAATTATATATTATTAAAAAAAAATTACCCTCATGCCGGTAACAAAACATAATTGGAAATATTGATGCAAGAACATAGTCTGAGTAATTGCCGTAATAAACATTAATGTTGCAATAGTATAACCTCTATAAGGGGGTTGTTTTGTTTTTTCATCGCCTTGACTATTCACAAATATCATAAGTTCTCTCAAAAGAACTGGTTGAACGAAATTCAATAAATCCTGTAAAGCTTTAAACACCTATAAAATATTAAAATATTGGATGTTATTAATATAAGGCATGAGCTAAACTTAATCTATAATAAAGATTCTTACAGCTGCAAATAAAAATGGACCTCCAAATGTAAGGGCGCATGCTCTTAACAATGATGGTCTAATAAAAGATAATGAGAGTATTAATACTCCTTCCCTTTTAAATGGATTATCGCATTAGAAATATTTTTATATTCACTTTTTTTTCTCTAATTCATTATTCCAAGCAGCCTCAAATTCTTCCGATATTTTCTTTGATTTTTCTTCGGAATTCAAGTTCCATAGATCATCCATAGTAAGAAATTTCTGATAACCAAGCTTCATAAGAGGTGTCATCCAATAAAATGTTGCCCTTGAAAATATATTTGCAGATTCTTCTGGACAATCATACTAAACATAGAATATCAATTAGAAAAAAAATATATAAAAATATCAAAAACCAAGATGAAATCTTATATAATAAATTTGTATAATCACGTTTTCATCGTCGTCAATAAGTTCATAATCATTTTGTGGTTTAGGAAGTAATTCTAGCACAAATACAACCAAAACCAATATCATAGAAATTGAAAACATGGAAAAATACAATAGATTTGAAGTCGTATTAATCAAAGTGCGTAATCTAATGGCATGTGCGACCGAATAGAATAGCCAGTATAACAGTAAGACTGACGAGGATACGTGACTATGCGTATAAGATTTATTATGGATCGAAAACGCCATGAACTATATAAAAATTATAATAATGTCAATTAATAAAACAAAATTTTTCGAATGAAAATTCAAAAATGACAAAAAATTACCATTGCGCAAACATTAATGAGAGATGAAATGATCACGATATCCAAAAATATCCAGTTTTTTATCAATAATGTATTGAATAAATTCATTATGCTTAAGAAGATCAAAATATACAAAGTTGTCTAATAACATTATTTAAAATGTTGTTAAATTATCGTACCGATAGATTTTATTATTAAATATAAAGAATGAGTATCACGTACCGTTATCGAGATATAATGCCAATTCTTTAAAGCACGATGTGGGAGAACAGCACGTTTCTTTGCATATCGACGAATTTCATAAAAACCAAGTATCAACAACAATAAATTGATTGGCGTTAATATGACTCTAAAATCAATTTAATTTATAAATATTAATATGGTGATTAATAAAATATAAACCGTCCTATTGCATTAAATTGCATTAAACATTTACCCTTCTTCGAAACACACTGTAAAATCAGGAACTCCGTTATCAAGTCTCCAAGGTCCCTAAATAAATCATAAAAATTACACTTGAATTAAATCTCTAATTTGAAAATTCTAATCATTTATTAGATTTGATTCTCTTACCCAACCATCCTTATCATGACAAAACCTTTCATTATTCGTCATGATAAAACAATCAAAAACTAAAAAAAAATTAATTATTATAAAATATTGTTTCTTCAGTAGGATTCACAAAAAGGAATTTATTCTAGATTATAACCTCAATGAAATTGAATTCACTGATGGATATTTTAAATTTATATCCACAAAAAAGATTAAAGATAACCCGTCTTGTAAAAGAGAATAGTTGTTTTTTAATTGATCCAATTTATAGCAAAAAAAATTGATATTGTGCTACATAAACAAAGATCGAACGCATTTAAATAATACGCAGCACTTTATTTATTATTGAGATAAGAAATTTCATACTAATTTAGAGCTTTTTGGGTTAAATTTATATTCTACAATAAACCATTGTGTAATATTAAAAATTTGTAATCATTTGTATAATAAGTATAAAAAAGATCTTTTTAAGAAGGTATCTAAATATTTAAGGCTACAACAAAATTTAGGAATGGGGAACAAGCGTGAATGAATCCACAAAAATATTAATTAATGCCAAATAGTTTATTTTCGACGCAGAAAACAAAAAAAAACTTACGATTATAAATTGATTGATATTTTGTTGTATAAATCTATAAATTTTTAATATTAAAAGATTTTGTTCGAAAATAAATTAAAAAAAAAAGATTCTATAGATCGATTATAAATATTACACAAATTTTTTTTTAATATTACAATAAACAAGTAAAGAAATTAAGTAATACAAGTTTAAATGTAATACTGCCATCCAAAAATGAGTAGTTTTGATGGAGATTTTCTCGAAAATCGATTTAAACAAATTATTTTTGTGCATCATCAAAAGCTTGTAATACAACTAAATAAATTCAATGACATTAGCGGAAAATTTTAAAACAGGCTAATGTTGAACCAAAACTCAAATTGGATTCTCGGGTAATCCTAGTTTCAGATCGCGGTCTTCTAGCTTTTTGAATACAGGTCAAAGCACACACTTTCATTTATTGGATCAACTTGCATATATCCAATAGCCCCCCATTTTTTTCCCCAATTGATATCGAATGATTATTATTCCCAACCAATAATAAAGGTGGCTACTTGTATGTAAAATTTTTTTTGACGTCAGGAATCCACTTTCTCGATATTATTTAATCATCTAATGCAAGCAACGCCGTTGCAACGTAAATTTAATGAAAAAGCTATTTTAGCCAGATTGCATTATAACTTTTGTTGCATTCAACACGATTCTTAGAAGGCTTCTTACAGACGTTGCACCTATTGTATTTCATCAGTCAGTTATAAAAAGTCAAACGTTACGAAGGATTTATATATATGCTTCCAACACTGAATAAAAAATGACTGATGCTGGCAGTAGGAAAGAACATTGTCCTGAAAACAAATTTATATGTCAAATCTGTAGTTTCGATCGATCTTACTGTATTTACTGTGCACGTTTGATTTCAACATCCTTTATATAATCCTACAGTTCTTATGAAATGTTCTTGTTAACTGCAGTACATACAGAAAAAAATTTATAATATATTATAATTGCTAAAAAAAAAAAAAAAAAAAGAATAAGATACATGTTATTCAGTAATTCTAGTAATTCTTTAATAATGTTTTAAAATAATATTAAAATTCTATCCGCTATCAATTTGTAAATCTCAAAATCTCTTAAGTTCTCCGTTTGTTTGAACGAGACACATTCATTTGCATTCTGGATTTATCTTTCAGAATATGTCATAACGACAAGCATATATCATATCAACTCATATTGTAGAAGGAATCGGTCCATTTGATGTTTGTTCTTGTTGGTTTTGCGTTAACATTTGTTATATGACCATAAAATGTTAAAAATACTATGAAAGCGTAAATCATTTTTGAATTTAAAGCTTCTTTTATATGAGATTATGAACTCTGTGAAGAATACAGGATATTTATATAAAATAATATATTAATAATAAATATGTTAAATATAAATAACTGATATAATTACTATTTTTAACTATTACATATTGACTATAATAATTATAACAATAAAGATAAATATAAATAAGTTGATTTAGTATTCTACGTCAAATACTTCAACAATTGCCTGAAGGACTGCCTCATCTACTGAATATAAAGACATGCGTGATCTTGTTAGGTGAGTTGTCTTTTAAAAGATAACAATATTATTTGCAATAAGGTCATCTTGGGGTAAATTAGAAATTTCTTGATCGCCTTGAGGAGAAATATTGATGTTATGAGCATCTAAAAAACTTTATTCTTAATATAATAATAGGTTTTATCAACTTGTTTGAAATGCCCTTTAAATTCCTTAGCATTATCATATAATCATTTTGCTATCGTGTCTCCATCCTTATCATATATCCTTTGCGAAATATTAGATTAATGCCTTCCTCTCTGGTGAACATAAGTTAGTTGATCTAGAATATCATTCCCAACCAGAGAAGGATCCACCTGGTTACCAGGGATTCGTTTTCATACCCGAAGCGTGTTGGTTTGGACCCATCTGCTCCAATAGATATTTGAAATGGGTCATTAGCTAAAAACAATTTGGCAGGTGCTCCATATCCAGGTGCAATGACCGTTCGTCTTGCCTGAACTCTTCTGCTTTTTGTTTTCTTTGATTGATCTTCCTCTAACTTTGTATTTATATTAGATAGTGAAACATTTTATTATAGTAAAACAGATAAGCATAAGGCTTATTTTGGTTTCATTAAGAAAATCATGACAAAAAGTTATGATCCAGTTGATAATGATTTTTGGATTGTTCTTTTTGGATGAAACGTGACATCTTGAGCGGTGCATCATTGACTATAATATACTTCCAGCGTCCACGCAACATGCAAGGATTTATTCGACCTTCCATATCTTCATCCCATAATGTATTTGGTTATTGCCTCTTCGGAAAATGAGACAAAAAAAGTACATTCAAAACTGAAGTTTATATACTACTGTTTTCAAGATGTAATGGAAGGACAGAAAGTTCTTTTGAGATGCTCATGGTATTCGTTAGATGTCTAGTCAAAAATAAATCACATCGCTATTATTTTAAAGAACCCTCCACCCGTAATATAGTAATGACAAGTATCTCACGAAAAATACGCGATTATTTATGATGCAATTTAAAGGCATTTGCACGTGATCACATGTTATCATATGATTTTTACAATTCATTTTTCAACTTTTTCAGACAAATTATATAATGCTTAATATGCGTAAGAAATGAATTCTTGAATAAAATAGCTAACATAGATATTTGATCCTCATTATTAAAAAAAAAAAGAGTTGCAAATGTATCTATTTATGTATTGATGGGTCAAATTGTGTAAGTCGTGTAAATCGTGATATCACGAATAATAGTAATGTTATATTTTTACATTTTAACAATCAAACTTTTTAAATTTTTGACTGTTTATTACTATTTATAAAAAGTAAGTCCATGAATTTTGAAATTAGCCGTAAAAGAAAACAAATTTATTTCATTTATTCTTTTTTTATGTAAAAAAATAAAATATTCTTTATTAAAGTTGAATTAAATACAAAAATTACACGTATTCAGTGATAATTTTAGTAACTAATTACATTAAGTACATTTGCTTTTTTTAATAATATATATATAAAAATATTATTATATGATCCTTTATATTATAAATAATATTAACATTAACAAAAGATTTTAAGCTCACCCATATGATGTAGACGATCTTGTTTTTTGATATTTTATTGATATCACAAATAAACTACAAATTAAGAAAATTAAGATTTTATATCGAAATAAGCTACATTAATATACTTTAAGCTAGCTAATAAAAAAAATACATATTATTATTTTATACATTTGTAAAATTATTAATATTATTAAAATATATTACTGATTTTATTGATCTTGAATATTATTTAATTTCTGAAATGGATGCCGAAATGGATCTTTATATCATTAGAACTAATTGTTGTAGTATCAATTATTTATTTATTTTTTAAAAAAATTTATGCTAAATATAATAAAAAAAAATATATAATATGTAATTCGTTAATAAATGACTTAATCTCAGCAATTTCCAAAAATCAACTACTAGATTTCCGAATATTTTAGTAATTTTGAAAAAATTACCAATGAAAAAAATGATGATTTTTTGTAAAATAAAGGATTTGGAGTTGATATATTGGCGAAGAAATTGTTGATGCTATTTAACATAATATAATTGAATTAATGCTTTAAAATTTAATATAATGAAATAATGACATACCTGCTTCAATATTATTAGCTATTTAAGTCAATATCATAAAATAACAATAACTTATAAATAAATATTAATTCAAATAAGAATCAAATTCTTACTTTAAAAAAAATTTAAAAGATTTTTTTTTTATAATTAAGTATTATATGAAAGATTTGCTAGAAAAATGGGATTCTGATAATTTTTTGAATATTTATTCATTTGATGTTTGATGTTTGAATAAAATGCAATAAGTATGAAATTTTAATCAAAAAATTCTCAGAATCCCATTTTTCTAGATATGTCAATTATAAAAAATATTAAATATCAAAATATTTGTTTATTATTTTAAATAATTTAAATAAATCTTTTTTTTTAAAGTATTAATATATTTTTGATATAAATATATATGTTATAAAATTATTATATTATTTTTATATTATATTTTTATATAAGATTTATATTTATTTTTTTAGTTTTTTATAATATTATAGTTTATTTGTTTATAAGTTTGTTTATTAAAATTACAAATTATTATACTTTTTAGTTATTATTAAATTTTATTATATTTTTTATATAATTTTAACTTTTATTTAAATTTATTATGCAGCTTATATAGAATTTTGTTGATTCTTGTAAACCATTATTATTAGTAATATAGAAAATATCTGATATTATATTTATATTAAAACATTTATTTATTTAATTTATTTTGACAATTTAATTGTAATTTAGCATTTTAAAAGATTTTACTTGCTAATAATTCTTTTAAATAATCTAAATTATAATAATTTTAAGTAATTGTAATTATTAATAAATTGAAATAATTTTTTTTTTGTTTATTTAGATTAGAAAAATCATCTTAATGAGTTCAAAAATCTATAAAAAATTACTTAAAAAATAAATAAATTTAGCTATAATACCTTAATACCTTTCTTAATAATTATATACTTGTTAATTTCATTATTCAAAATTATATTTTGATAATTTTAAAGAGATTTCTTATTAATAAAAAGAAAGATTTATTAATTATTATAAAAAATATATTAAAATACTAAAATTTATCATTATTGTTATTTTTAAAAAAATTAGTTTATTTATATAAATTTTTATTTTTTTTTTAATCTTATATATTATCTTTAAAAAAATATAAGATTTTAATCTGATATCAGTTTTATAGTAAGATTTAGTATTTTACATAGATTAAATTAAATCAAATTTAGGTAAAATCTAATTTGATCTAAATCTAAAAAATCTGAATTCAATTTAATTTGAATATGAAAAATCTTTGGTCTGAATCTAATTAATCTGAATTTAAATCTAAATCTGATAGATCAATCAGATCTAATCTAAAACTGATTTGAATCTAATAAAAATCAAATTTGATAAATCAAAAAATAACAAAAGTATTATTATAGGATTATTATAGCAATCAACATGTTTCACAAAACTGATTTACTACAGAATTGATCTACTGGATGATCTACAAATGATTTACATATGTAACGTTAGAAATGTATATAGCTGACATTTCTGACATTTCTGACATGTCAAACATAACTGACATAGTAGAATGGAGACGTAAAAAAAAAAAATTGAAAAAAAAACCAAATATATACATGATTTATTGTTAATATACCAATGGAAATTATACCTTACTATTATATCATAGGATGAAACTACAATAAATAAAACCAAAATTGTCTCATTTTTACATCAAGATTTCTTTAATGATTTCTCTCTCACGATTTATCACAAGTTTCAAATGTCTTCCATAAATTCCTTTACATCCTTTCATGTCTTTAGAAAAGAAATTTTCCTTGCTTAACCTTTCCAAATATAATTCATAAGCCGGCATATATCTATTCACAAAATCTTTGACTTGTTCATCACTCATTCCACCTTTTCCTCTTAGTTTCATAGTATGCTCTTGTTCTAAACGCCATTGATAAACATAATTGATATTCTCCGCTTCAATATGAATAAAAATATCAAGGAGTGGATACCAATTCTCTTCATATCGCTTTAAATTTTCATTAATAGTTTTTATATGAGTAAATGAATGAGATTTTAAAGTTGTTAAAGAAGTCGATGAACGATCATATGCTTCTTGAAGTTCAGAAGGAGGTAAATGTTTAAACCCTAAAGACCATCCATCAAATAAAATGATATCAAATGGTGGTGAAACTCTAATCCATTCTTCAATAGGAGCCCGATCCCCTCTCCCATTTCGTAAGGATTTATCGTAAAATGGTATCAAGATGTTCATATTATTTGACTTTACATTTTCTTTTTCCCTTAACCTTTCATGTAATCTTTCGGAATATTTTTGTTGAACATCACGTAATTCTTGTAAGATTTGCCTTCCGAGCAAGACATCATGAGTTCCCGGTGCTCCTCTAAACTCCAACAATTTATTCCCAGGATTCTGGTTTGCCAATTTACATTGATCTTCATAGGTTAAATAAAAGTCATCCATGGAAAAGTTTACTACTGATAAATTCTTCGTACTCTTCAAGTATTGTACAATTTGTTTTACAACCGTTGTTTTACCTATTGAGATTTGGATTATGAAAAATATTTGATTTGATTGGTTAAACATGTTTGGAAATTCATTTAAAAGATTTTTTTTTTTTTTTTTTTTTTTTTTACCACATCCTTGGGTTCCGCTAAGTCCAACTATTAATGGATAGTTGGTATTATTTGATTCCTTCCTAAATTTCCTAAATTTATTGTAATGATTGATTATGAATTTCGATAGAATGTCAATTTTTTGTGACGATTTCTGATGTTGATGTAAATTATGTAAATTATGTAAATGATTCATTTTGTAATTAAATCTAAAAACAACAATAATAAATTATACATGGATCAGAAAATTATTAAATAATTTGAATTAAGATAGAAACAGGTTAATAACTGATCATAATACATACCCTTGAAATAACTTCATGACAAGTTTATGATTTTGTTTTTTAAAAAAAATATATATTTCATCGTGGGAAAAAAATATAATTTCATTCGATCGATCATCCATTCGTTACACTAAATGGGTAGGTTAGTCCTGATTAAATTTTGAGAAAATGAAGGAATTATTATTCTCTTGTACCGATCAGGATTTACGCATGCTTTTCGAAATCTTGAATAAAGATAATTGAACGAATACAAGAAAATTAAAAAAAGAAAAGAAATAAAAATAAAATAAAGAAATAAAAATAAAAATTGAAATAGATGACAAATCCAATTTGCAATACCTGTCGGAAAAAATCGATGGCGCAGCATATATATATATATTTTTTAATTGATGTTGATTCAACAAATTGCTAAGCGGTCTTTTAAATGAATTGAATAAAAAAAATTTTTTTTTGAGGAGTGCATTCCGTCTATATACATATTAAGCATAAGTGGAATGAAACAATTTCTATTGTAGAAACTTGACATGTAAGCTGACATCTATGACGTGCCCAAATACTACTTACATCCGCATTAGCTAAATAAATACAATAGTCTGCTGCATTTTAATTATAATGACTACGGGCTCCTAGATGTTGGTTTATCATCTTATCAACCTTATAGACAAATATAAATGCACAATGGGCTCATTTGGCTCGTGTAAGGTTTACTTGCTGAGGAAACACGTATTTAAATTCGAATCGATTAAAAGTATCTTGAGTTTGATCACCTATCTCTTTAACTTTCTATTGTAATCAACCTTTTTTTTAAATAAAAAGAACATGGAAACCTTTTACGGTATGTTCAAGAATAAAATTTGAAATGATATGTTTAAAAGGTTAAACGGTATTTTTTTTCTGTTATTAAACTTACGCGTCAAATCAACCCAGGAAAAGTCCCAAATACGATGGACGCTTTGGTTATATTTGGTAAGCAAAAAGAAACGATAAAAATATCTTGCACTTTTTAAAAAAAAAAAAAAAAAATTTTTTTTAATTATCATCGCATATCATAAAGAGGCGTGCCGTCAAGGAGTCTTGCACAGAACTAAACGTCGCATTAAAGAAGAAGAGAAGAAACTTCTGTGTGCTGGGTCCGTGTAAGTATAACGAATCCTTATCCTAGTCGGACCAATTCATTTCAAATAGAAGATCTCAATTTAATTCTTTTCCATCTTTTTTTATTTTAAAAAAATTAAAATTGTTCAAAATATTAGATACGTGTATGATGAAATGGAATCAGGAATCAAAAGATGGACCGATGGAAAGTAAGTAAAGATCATTCATTCATTTACGTCAACGTCTTAACAAATTTGTGGGTTCACATGTTATCTGTGTTGCAGATATTGGTCTCCTAGCAGAATCGTTGGTGACTTTCTTGTTTATCAAGAACTCGAAATAAGGCTTCCTCATATAAAAAGTTACGAGAAACTTGATGAAAACCTCAAACGACGAATCAAAGATGAAAATTTAAAATATAATATTTCAAACAAGGGTGCTTTTATTCACCGTAAAGATGGTTTGAGTAAAAAAACCATCTCAGTAAAATTGAATGGGAGCTTCCAACATATGGTTATTTATGAAGAAAAAGATGGTATGTTTCGAATAGTTCTTTCCGTCATTTCTTTATTGTTGAAATCTATGCGTTACACGTGATTAATTTTTCCCAACCTTTTTGACTTTATAATTAACAGACACCAATAACCATCTTTACACGCCTCGTGCTTATGTTGAACTGTTGAACATTGAACCAGGGATAGACTTGACTCACAATGAAGCGTTACGCAAGCAAAACTACGTCACATTAAATGACGACTTCCCTGCTTTAAGGTTAAAAAAAGAAAAGCTCGTGGAACGTCAAAGAAATTATTCAAATATCACTCCCATAAGACACGTCGCTCCGATCCAAACTTTGCCGAGTATCGCGGAAGCTCTTTGTTCTCCCGTGTCGACAATGCAAAGAACTCATGATTTTGTATTACCCGAGATGAATATAGCAAGACTAATCAATCTATTGTCAGGTTCGCAAGAATATAATCCAATGGAAAAGCAAGAGAATTCATCCGGGTCGAATTCATCCGGGTCGGTTCAATCAACGAATTGCGTTACCAATGATATCAATACTTGGCAAAACGACGACTATCCATTGCCGTCTCGCGCTTTTCCAACCCATACCTACCGAACCACTGTTATTCCTGATACGAACAAAGATTCAGATCCGGATTTCTCTGATTTGATGGATTTCTCTCGTTCATAGAAAGATTAATTAATTTGGTTAATCTGGAAGAAATGAAATTTATGTTGTGAATGGATTTACTTAATACACAAGATGAAAAGAACACTTTTTAATTTCTTTTCATTCTTCTGTAGTTTAATATATTATTGTATAATATTTCATGTAATTTTAATCGATAGGTAATGTGATAATAACTAGAGACCCCAAAAAAGTTTATGCATAGCTATCAAAAAAGCATTTTATTGCAATACCTATTGTCTCTATTGTTCATGCACGTCTCTCCAATTTGGATTTAATAAAAATAAATTTGACAAAGTACAAAATGTTAGTTTGGAATTGATCGCTGGGCCGATCAAAAGATAAAATTCATGTTTTTTAAAATAATAATAATAATAATAATAATAAACTTCACTCATTTTTGCGATCAAAACTTTACGATCGCAGGTGTCCAAACAAATTATTTAAAACGCTTTAATAATTTCTCCCAGTTAACGTCTTAATGCAAAACCCTTTACCATACGATAAGGAAGAAACTTTAGAGGAGGCTACTTCTATAAATATGGATAGGCTCACACAACTTCAAGATGGAATTGATGAGGTTCGGTTCTTTCAAAGGATTATTCTTTTTTTTTTTTAGTTTAGTATTCTAACCTATGATTTATTCTTATCTTTATTAATTTATTTAATTTATTATTTTAGTTGGCTAGAATGTTTGCTAATAGCGTAGAATATCTTAACCGAGGTAGTTTTTAAAAGACTCGAAAAGGTTTTTCAAAACGCGTTGTTTCTACCGATAATATCTTAATCGTTTATTATTATGACAAATTTTTAATATAGCGCAAGTACATGTCGACCAGGATCAAGTGAAATTTAGAGGTAGGAATGGAATTATATAGTTACATATTTATGAAAATAAATAATAAAATGTATTAATGAATGTCATTTGTTTTTATTTAGAAAGTCAACGTGAACTTGTTCAAGATATTGTTAAAAAATCAAAACAAATAGAATTATTGATAGAGAATTTACCGGGGATGCAAAACTCTGAACAAGAGCAAATAGATATGATAAAAGAATTAAATAAAGAAATGCACGAGGCCAATCTAGAATATCTAAAGGCTGTTGAAGATGCAGGTATGATGATATATATTAATTAAAATTACTATCTTTTTTTTGATATTCGTTTTAATCGATCTTAAATAATTATAAATTTTTAATTTTACAAAAGAGTCTTTAAAAAAACAAATAATGGAAACCATAGGAATACTTTGTAGGGATCAAAGTACGGCATATAATACAGAGGAATGAGTTATTCATTAATTATTGATTTCCCTTGTGCGTTAGTCTTCTTTAACTAGCCACATCAATATTAAGCCTATAAATACAATGGCAAGTAACAACCAACAAGACAATTCCATTGTAAATTGCTGATTGACATTTTCAATAGTGTCCATCATGGCAACAAGTAAGATGCCCCATATTTGTACTACAGAATTTAGAATTCCTGTACTTGTGATTTCATCTTCTCCTAGACGACTGGAAGTAATTACTGGCGCATATTGGAATATTGCCGGAGTTATCGCTATATTATGGCGTATTAGAATTTTTTTTTTTTTTTTAATCGTTGGATTTTTTTTTAAAAAAATTATTTAATCTTATTACTTACCAAAGGAAGCTATTCCAAAGAACATGCTAATAGAAATGCTCATTATTAATGGTTTAGTTTTGAAATAATTTTTTTTTTTTAAAATTTGAAATTTAGTCATTATTTACCATGAAACTGTTAGTAAAGACATGCTTCTGATCTTCAAAGCTATAATGAAGGCAAATAGCGAAAGAAATGCAATCATATATAATGTACGACATGATCGTTTGTATGCGAATGTGCGATCAAGATAAACTCCAATTAGAACAGATCCAACCATTCCAGCTACCACATTAAGGAATCCCAAGAATCCAACTTGAGACTAATAAAACAAATGGTTAATATTTTTTTACATTTAATTTTTTAATTTTATTATTTTCCTTGTTTTTTATTACCTCATCATACCCTTTGAAGACAGGAACTACAATTTGTGCTAATAAAGTGCTCACAGCAAATGATGCCCCAACGGTTAACCCATATGATGATGCAAGTAACATAAATACTTTATCTGAGCAGAAAGCATTTATTGTCGAAAGTATCGTCGTGGATTTACGACTTTGTTTCCTAAAGAAAAATATTCATTAGTTAAATCAGATCAAAATATTAAATTTATCCTAAATTTTACTTTACCTTCGAGATGAATTGGATTCGGCTGTAAAAGTAGTAACACAGATCAAATATATAAGTGAACAGAAACCAAATTGTATTAACAAATATTTGGGGATATCATCCTTTGCCGTGGCTTGTTTAATAAACCATGGTGATAATAAAAATCTAAAGGAATGATAATAAAAAAAGGTATAGAATTTAAAAAAAAAAATTATTATTAATAAAACCTTTTCACTTACCTACCAAACTATAAATTATCCTTACCCAACAGCAATTCCAGCATTATTAGCAGTAACTCCAATTCCGGTTGCCAAATTTTGTTCCCCAAATTCAAACCAAGTGTTTGCTAATTTTGGGGGAACTCCCAAAATAAAAACTCCGGCAATGGCTGCAATTGTTTGACCCAAAAATAATAACCAAAACCCAGATGGCCCAAAAGAACCCATGAATCTTAAAAAAGTTCCAAAAGCATTTAAAAATGCACCGACGAGAACTCCCTGTCGTAAACCCCATTTGTCATATATTTTGAGGATAGGGACTAAGAATATAGGATATACTATCATAAATACTGTAGCTAATGCGTTTATAGTTGATGGAGTTTGTTGATAATGATCCATGAAAATGTAAAGACATGGTCCGAAAGTGATCCAAAGAACCGCATTGGAAAACGAAAGAAGCGAAAATGATGCTAAAACGAACCATCTTCGATTTGATAGATTCTTATGTACAGTTGTTTTGGTTCTTTGCGATATCAATGCAATTGAAGAATCTAATTGAACTTCCGAAGTATTTGATTTTTCAACCATTATGTTAAGTTCATCGGAATTTTCCTCAATTTGTTCATAATTATGTTTGTTATTATCTTTAACTCGCAAAGTTGGATTAATGACATCTGAAACTGAAGTTGAAGCCGTCATTTCAATAAAAGAAAAAAATAAAATAAAATTTGTTTATCAAACGCCTATTTATAAAAGATTAGCATGAAATTCAATCCGCAATGTTTATGTAACACGAATATTCCTGTTTAAACAAAAAAAAAATTAATTAGGTTACAAAAAATGGCAGAAACAATTCTTTCTAACGAACCAAATCATGATACTTCAGAAACCTCAAAACCTACCTCAATACCTCAAACTACTACTGAAAATAAACGAGATTTGCGTAGAAATCGTTCCGGAACTAAACATGAAGTAAATAAATAAATATTATGAATATAATGTTTCCATTTATAATAAATAAATTTTTTTTTTGTAGGATTCTTATCAATTTCCTTACATTCCACTAGAACAAATTGATTCTGCTTTTGCATTACAAGAATATCTACAGTCACTGATAAGAGCCGACAAAGATAACCTAGATGCTCTAGTGGAATTACCACCAGGACAAGATCAAGAGACTTGGCAATATGAGCATTTAAGGTAATTACTAGTATAGTGAAAGTTTGGTAATGCGAACCAAACATTAGTCATTAGATAACAAAAACTAATTACCTAGATATGAAATTGAACATTTAATATGTATTAAAATACAAAAAAATTATAATTGAAATTATGTATCAGATAATTTTAAAACTTAATTAAAATATTAGTTTTTATATATGACTAAAAATATCTCCGGTTCGATAATATTATATTTGATTTGATCAAATACGAAATATAAATATAACACCTCAATGAAATCAAAACCTACTTCCTATAATTATGACTTTTATGATTAAATTAATAATCATTTCAGAACTTTCTTTTGATTTAGGCAATTATGTCTCGAGCTTAATTATCTGGTAGTTCAACTAGAAGTTGAATGCACTCGCCAGTCTTGCCCAGAGATGAAAGCTGATGAATGGCAATATCTTTGCGCTGCACACCAAGCTCCAACGAACGTGAGTTATTATATATAAATGTTTTAGCTATAATTCTTTGATTCTAACATTTTCAATTAACGTTTAGTGTTGTGCGATTGATTATATTGTTCATACGTTAGATGGAGCAACGACTTTATTAAATAGTCATAAATATTTTCCGAGCAGGTAGATTATTAATTTAATTTAAAATATATAGTTTGAAATTGACTTTTGATTTTGTTATTTATGATAGGATATCAATTCCCGAGACATCACTGAAACATTACCAATCTATCGCACGACGACTTTACCGAATATTCGCACATGCATGGTTTCATCACCGAGAAATTTTTGAAGCTTTCGAGGTAAACAAAATGTATATTCTTTTTCCCTAAAGATTCTAATTTAATATATATATGTTTATTTATTTTGAAAGAATGAGAATATGTTATATGCGCGTTTCTTGAAGCTTTCCGATCGTTATGAATTAATAGCAAAAAACCTTTTGATTATCCCATATAATAATAATTTTAATAACAATGACAATGACAATGAAAGCGACAATCATATTAACCACAATAATGATGGTAACGCACCGCTCAATGATGATATGGAATAAATTTATAAAGATTTTTTAATTGTCGTATGTCGTATATACATAATTAATATAATTAATTCAAAATTTTTTTGAACGTATTTAATTCTATTATCAACTACAACTTTTATTTAATTATATTATATAATATAAATAATAAAAATCTAAATACAGAACTTCAATTAGACTAGACTGTAAGACGTGTGCTTTGGTAATCATTTGTTTTCCATATTTATAAATCACCTGATAGGACTAGTGATTAATTTTACGTAATTAATTAACTTGCCCTTATTTGTATCGAATATCAAAAAATCTCCTTTCCCTCTTTAACTTTTAATTTTTTACCATGCCGGTAAGACGGTCGGCCATATAATGATTTTTTCTTACAAACCTGAATAAAAAAATTGATTTTAAAGTTATATTACATAGGCATATCATTCTCTATTCAATGATAGGACCGAATTTCGAGTAGTAGGTAACATGGCATTGTTGCCTATAAAGACAAAATTAAGAGGACCACCATCTCTAGGTAACAAAAGAGTTATTTTTATTATTATTATGATCCATTTCTATTAGTCTAATTACATCTTTTGCAATGGGAATAATATTTATAGCACCCGCTCCTCCAACAGAGAATGATGTCATTGATGAAGCATTAGACCTTTTTAGAGCCAATTGTCTATTTCGAAACTTTGAGATACAAGGCAATGCGGATAGAGTTTTGATTTATTTGATCTTATTTATTAGTGATTGTTTGTCTTGTTTGGGTAAAGCAGGAAAAAATACATCACAAAAAGAAGCTATAAAGATATTGAATAGTCGTGCTTTGGATAATTTTGCACTTCCCGGAGATCCAACTTTTCCATTAAATGCTTTATACGCATCACCTGGAAGCGATGCAGGTTCGATTATCTTTATTTTTTTTTTTTGCATTCATTATAGTATTTTAATTAATCTTTATCTTCTTATTTATTTATTCTTTTAAATAGAACAATTACGACAATATTTATCTTTAGCTCGTCAGGAATTGGCAAATCGATTGGTTGAAAGAGTTTATGTTGATGGGAAACAAAGTAAATGGTGGATGAGCTTCCAAAAGAAAAAATTCATGAATAAATCATTGTAATAACATTTAATTCAAAAATTAATTAATTTTTAATAAAATTTAATTAATCTTTTAAATTAATTTTTTTACACACTTCTTCCAATTCTGGAACGTTTACAATCTCAATCCCTTTTGCTTGTAATATAGAAATTCCTTCACATTTTACGAATTTGTCAGGTTCTTTAACACCAATTACAACCTTTTTAATCCCGGCTTCTATGATAAGATCAACACAAGGTTTATTACCGGATAACCTTTTACTACAAGGTTCCATAGTAGTATACATTATGGCGCCATTCGCTTCCTTTATGTCTGATAATTTTTTCAACGCACATTCTTCTGCATGTGTGTTCCCCTCTAATTCACGAGAATATCCAGTAGAAAGAAGTTGAGAGTTTTTTACTAATACCTATTATAAATTTTAAATTTATCATTATTTTCAAATATCCAAGGACATCGTTTCAATTCTCAAGAGTATATTGGATCTTCATGATTGGATAAAAACGATAACAATCTGCAACTTAAAATTTATACGTACAGCTCCTACACAATATGCTGTTTCAATTGGAACTGAAAGATTTGCTTGTTCTATTGCAATCTTCATGAAATGTAAATCGTCTTTTAACAGAAAAAAAGAATTTTTTTTTTATTAAAAAAAAAAAAAAAAAAGGAATAATATGGACATCATTTAAGAGAAGGGGAAAAAATAACCTGCACTAGTCATATCGAATTTTTTTCTTGGAGAAAAAAATTTGAGATGATTGTTATTAACATTTTTAATAAATTGTTTACTACATCAATTAAAACAAATTTGTGTAATTAATTTTTTTTAGTAATCTAAACCTTAATCTTTGGGTGAATGTCTAAGCAATTATTATAACGATTCAGATATAAAACCTTAATCAAGATTCAAAAATAAATAACAAGCGAATAAAAAATGTGAAAAAAAAAAAACTTTTTTATTATATACTGCAAGTTCCCTGATAATGATAGGCAAAACAATTCCTCTTTTTTAGTGTGATCTACTCGTGAAAAATAAAATTCTGATTTAGTTCTGGTTCTTTAGACTTCGTCCAGCAACAATCTATATCTCTTGAAAATCAAAGATAATAAACATTGCATTTAATGCATCATTCACAAAAATTATATTATCTACTTTTTTATTGTCAAGGACATCATCTCTTTGCTGATTTCATCATAGGGATGTTGATTACAAGTTTTTATAATCATTTTATCTGGATTACTTTTCAAGCCCGCTTAATTTATCCACAAATAATATTCTAACGTAGTAAATATTTAATTATCCTTCAATTTATTTAATCAAGAATAAAACATCTGAAGGCATGCACACCCGCCTATTTATTCCTTCCATCACCTTTTGCATTTAATAAAGAATTGTATTAGATTCATTATGTAAAAAAGACAATAAAAAAAATTTATAGATCTGATTTGGAAGTATTCTTGAATTAACCCCACTGTTACTTAGGTTTGGACTTTTTCTATAAAAGCAGTATTCATTAACCAAAACAATTTATAATTCTTGATGATATTATTTTGATGTCTCGTTAAATATTTTTTAATAAATGTCAATCATAATATTTATTAATTATTTTTTAAAACCATTAATATGGTTTATTTAATCGTACAAATAGAATACTTATGTAATAATTTAATTATTTATATTTATAGGATATTAATTATATTGTAAACATTTTTAAACATTACAAAACCTTTATTTAATATACATTTTTTGATTAATACATTAATTATAATTGTAATTTTATACGAAGATGACCATACAACTCATATGACAAGACCAAAGAACATAAAGATAAAAAATAACTTACATCGATTATAAAATATCTTCCCATCCACTGCAGCCAGAACATTGCTATGGTTAGGTAAACTCCAAAACCCTTCAGGAAGCGAGAAGCCCAGGCCTGGAAATGG